AAAAAAAAATAAAAGAGGGGAGGAAATGTCTGCGAAAAGGTGGTGGGCATCGATACAGATAGGCTCAATCCCGTTCACATGAAATAAAAGAAAAGGCTAGATAAATGACTAATAGCTATTATTCCGGAATTTTGGCTAAGTACATTGAAGTTTGAAATTAAAAAGCAGAAACACAATTTAAAAAACGGTTAGGTCCAAGCTCGAAAATGCTTTCTAATTTCTTGTTTTCCAAGCCAAAAAATGTAGGAAATGCTTGTGAACAAAGGTCATTGATTTCTATTTACAGTGGATACTGTTCTGCAATGTCCTGCATCAGTCGACCAAAACAGCCATTGGGGTGAGGCTCACCATGCCATCGTCTCCACATGAATTCTTTAAGGTATTCTTGCAGAAAGTTAGGATTTGTGTTACCTTTCATCTTCTTAAATTTATCCTTTGCAACAGACCAGTTGCTTTCTGCGTGTTGGGTATGGACACCGGTCACTGGATCCACAAAATTGACAGAGTGATTCACCGTTTGGTGATTCAAACCTAAGACCCTTTGCATTCGCCTGTAAGCCGCCCATTCATCTGTATAAACCAAAGAGCCTGGTTGCACGTTTCTTTGAATAATCGGCAAAAGCGTAGCAGCATTTCGCCTTCTGACAAGCTGCAGATACGGTCTAGCGGGTTCATACTGAGTATCAAAAAGCCCAAGAACCCATCTCTCTCCTCGAGGTCGACGTCCCCTGTGGTACTGTTGAGACAGAAGTATATACACTTTTCATTAAACACTTTGGCCTCCGTGGAACCGAGGAAAATTAAGAAAAGCCGTTTACTGGCATTGGCCGGCCATTAAAGACAGAAAATTAACTAACACACTGCTCGTGTTTTGTTTGGTGAAAATGTTTGAAAGCGAAGAATGACTTGGATTTAGAAAAAAAATACATAAAACATTTTGTTATGTCTCTCAGTTAGTACGCGCACTGTTATGGGACTTCCGAGAAACGGACCACTGGGACGAACTACATAGCAGCGCCTGGATACGGAGCACACGCAAAGGCACAAAGACTAACTTTTTGGCAACCTTGTTTCGGTGAAACATTGCACCAGATAATTTTAAATGAAACCGCCTTTTCATTTAAGTTACTTTTATTTCAAAAAATTAACTTCTTTTTTATCGATAAAACACGATCAGCACCACACTAATTTATTTCTTGGTTGTACAGATGATAGACCTTGCAACATAGTTGCATTAACAAAAGAAAAAAAATCGGGTAGATATAAATGACAATCGAAATGACGGACCACGGCAAGCAAAGTCTTTAAGATAAGAAAAAAGATGACGTCAAATAACCGTGCAAACTGATATCGGATTTCTGTCGTTTTATCTCAGAATTAGTTACAGGTTCCAATTTGCAAGGGATCCATGAGAGATACCAGGCAGTTCTGGACATTTTGGTCGATAACAAGTGCTCTTTAACAGAGGCCATGAGGCGATTTAACATCCCTCGCAACACGTTGAGGGATTATATTGGCATCTGCGAATTGCGAATTATAGATGGCGAGAGGTACAAAAGAGTGGTCGAGGCAGAACGGCAGAAAATGGGAAAGGTCTCTGCTAAATCTATTGAACAGCGCTGTAGGGCGGTTCTGAACGAATATAGAGTTCAGGCCAATACGTTAAAACAACAAAAGAAGCTCCTTCCTTTTTACCCAAAGGAGGACTTTTACACCTCAAAGTAAATGTAAATGTCCATACCCCTCCCACGAAGGGTTTTCAGATTATACCCCTTCACACCACTGGAAATTCCTTTTTTTTTTTTTTCATACTTTTCTTTAAAAACTTTGACTCTCGACATCCCCCACCCCCCTAGGAATTTCCTATGCCCTTCTTTGGGGGAGGTATGGATATTGAGCTGTCAGATTCACGCGTAGGTTTTTTACTGATTGCGCGCCTTCATTGCCTCTAATCCACGGAGAAACCAGCGCGCTGCTATTGAAATTAACGACCTCTATTACCCTTTCATTACGTGGTCTGTAGTTTGCAGGTTAACTTTTACGTGAGAGAAAATGTGGTAAGGCGTCAGCTTTGTGTGTTCCGGACGTTTCGGTAGTTTCTTGTTTTAGTTCATGTTGTTTAATCGCAGATGTTATCCGTTAGGTTTAGGAGTTACTTATGACTGCCAAACTAACAGATTGAAATAAGGTGACATTAAAAAAAATATATCTATCAGGGCCAGGTTGTTCAAAGCACGATTATAGAAGCTAATTTCGGGTTAGTATGAATTTGATTTCAAGTTCATAGATGTTTAACAGAGATTGTTCCCGAAGTTTTTTTTAAATAAATTGTTAACAATTTATGCGCTGCAGGTTTCTTTTTAAACGGCTAAAAATTCGTATCTTCCAGCTATGTTCCAGTCTGCTTGTGGGATTATTTTTTGGATAGTTTAGCCTTAGACTATTCGAATGCGTTTTCTGCTTTTATTTCTAATGGTCCATCCCGTACTGGGCGAATTTAAACTAACTGCAGTTACCAAATGTCTGCACAATCTTTTTCCAAGTGAAAAACGGTTTATTGTGTTTTTTAGTGTAAATGTAATGAGAAACAATTTTTAAGACGTTCAAAGTTAATACGAAATTGATACTGTAATGAGCGAATGATTATTATGCCGTCTTTGACAATGGGTTAAGACCAATACTTGTAGGGCATGACTTATACAATACTACGTCTTATTTCGATTGGAGAGCTTTAAACCATTTATTACTGTTCTGAAATAATACTGTATTCTTCATAAACAATATGCAATGTTAATTTCAATTTTAAGCAATCATGTAATAAACTGTATTTACATTGTAACAAACTTTCCCGTTGATTATGTCATGTTATCTTTGACATCTGATTCCCGAAGTGGAGGTCGGTAGTGAGTGGAACCACCACTAGCCACTGACACAGAGGTGAATAGTCGTTTTACTATGGACTAAAACAGTGAGATAAATATGCGTTATTGACCAAGCTTGTTCGGTCAAGATGGCTGAATATTGGCTAAGTTGTTTTTGGCGTTTTTATGGACCGAGACGCCAAAAATAACGAGGCCAATATTCAGCCGTCTTGACCGAACAAGTTTGGTCAATAAAGAATTTATTAGATGCCCTAAAACAAAATCTTTTCTTTTGTGATCAACGCGGAAAATCCCGAGCGGGCAAGATGGGCCCATCTTAAAAGTAGCAATGAGGGGGGGGGGGAGGGGGAAGACGTTGAAAATTGCCTCAGAACAGATAAAAACATTATTTGGTCAACTTTTAAACTCGTCTTTTTTTCATTATTAGCTATAATTGATGTATTGTTACTAACTGAATTTTCGAGTCATGTTATGTTCGCGTCACTTTAATTAAAATCGCGAAATTTGCAAAATTACAGTGTCGCGAAAATTTCAGATTATAACAAGATAGCAATTAATGATTTTTGCCACATTTGTTCATGTCAATGATTACAATTTATACGCGCAATAGCAATTGTTATTCCATGTTTCAGTAGCCAATTAGAGAGCGCGCACAACGCTAACCACTGTTTTAGTGTATACTAAATACATATAGGATCACCCCCTGCCGTCCTTGGCTGGCCATAACCCTAATCATGTTCTACCAAGCGTTTACATGAAAAAGGCACCTCTTACAATAATAAAAGACCTGTTGAAGGCAGAGAAACCAAACCGGCAATGATACCCAAAGCAGAGTGATATTGAGCTTCAAATATATACAGAAAAGGTTTATAAATTTGAAAACGGAGGAAAAATTGCCCTCTTCATCGCTTGGTAAGAATTTCCCTTTTGGATGATGCTTCCTCGAAAATTCCTTAACTGACTGGCAACTGGCAGTTAGCAGTCAACTGGCAGTTAACAACGGCAGCAAAATGACAAAAACAAGGGAAAAAAGAAAAGCGAAAAAAAAAAGCAGAAAAGTCTAAAGAAAGGCATGCTTTCATGTTTAATTTTGAGTAGTTTGGACTAAAAACTGACCAAAAATGTCCAAAAATGCGAATTTTTCAAGAATCTCCACGTGTAAATGGGGGCAATCGGTTCATATTTCAGTAATCTTGCTCCAATTTCTTCTCCAGGGCTATTGATAACGGACTAAAAACCATACAGACCGACAAAAAGCTCGACCGATATATCGATCGACTATCGGCCGACTCTCGACCGATATATCGAACGGCTATCTTCTGACTATCGACCAAGTGTCGACCGACCATCGACCGAGTGTCGACCAATTACTGACCGATACATCGGTCAAGTATCGACCAACTATCGGCGAAGTGTCGGCAAAGTGTCGG